GGTTCGCTAAGCCTTATTATTATTATTATTATTATTATACAAAAACAATTTAATTAGTCGACTCTAGCCGAGTTTACCCGAGCGTTGCACATCGAAGATCTGACGCCTCAATCTAATTCACTCTCCCCCAAGAAAGTGCAAAATTCGTATAAAGAAGTTTTCACTTCTAAAAATACAAAATTTTGATATTAAAATAATACCCTTTTATCTAACAACAGTAATATATTAATATTAACTAATAAGACTGGATGTTTGTTGTTTACAATTATTGTATAATTAATGACCTCCAACGCTGTGCCCGCTAATCCCTCCCCCCCAAACTTATACTTGGAGAAAGTTGGTTACATTGCCAAACCCCTTGGAGGTAATATAGTGTCTCTGGGTATTAATGGAGCTTGTGGTTTCTTCAAGATAACGTTACACTGTATTTAAATTAATAACCTCGCTAGGAATAGGCGTGAATGACGCCGTGGAACCTAGGCAATGCCTTGTTGCGTCAGATAACGGCTAATATCCCAGATCATAAAAAAAAAAAAAAATATATATATATAATATATATATATTGTATATATATAAATATGGTATATATAATAAAATGAAAAATTCGAGTCATTAAAAACAAGATTTTTGTTTCTAACTCTATTTCTTCAGCCACACCTTTCATAAGCAATGACAATTAGCCGGTCTGCTGTCGACAAGAGTACAGGTAGTGGCATTGAACGGTTTGAAGGAGAGGAGTGCCCAACGGCATCCCTTCATGTCCTGAATTTAGCATCTTTTTAAGCGAGAATATCCCTCACTTTTCATTTTGACTTAGGAGACCGCAAAACATGAATTTCCGTTGAAAATTCAGATTAGAAAATTTTCACGATCGCAGTATACTGTCCCTTACTATATATCTCATATATAGTTAAGTCAAAGTAAATATGTATACATACATAAATAGAATAAAAGTCATCTTTAAGTGAAACTAAATTGTTTAGTCCCTAACCTGACTATTCTACGGTGTTTTTAAACACGACACGCAACATATTAAGTCCTAAGTTTCTTTATTTTCTTCTTTTATGTTATATTTTGTTAGCTTTATATTTATTTTTTTTTTACTTTCACTTATCTATATATGAAATATATAGTAAAGGAATGCATTGCGATCGTGAAAATTTTTGAATCTCTGTTTTCAACGGAAATACACGTTTTGAGGTCCCGTGAGTCCAAATAACCTAGTCCCGCAAAATGGTCTGTGTGTCTACGTGTGTCTGTGTTAACAGTCTAGGAGACTGTTAAGTATAGGAGAAATAAAAAATCGTAACAGAGAATAGTTGTAACCGAGCTCGTCCAAAAGATTATAACAGCCTTCCATACAACATGAGCTTAATATAATATGGACTCCATCAATATTATATAAATGTAAATTGCTAGTATTATTTAGTATTTAATTGTACAGATTACACTGATATAATTATTAAAATTTGTATATATAAGCGTGCTTATACAATTAAAAATACCCACAATGAAATATAAATAATTATAGCGTCTATAAGTTTTAGTTTCACTTCTCCTTTGTCTAAAAATACTTATTTCTGCTAAGAAGAGGGTGGTAAGTGAAAGTTGTGTGATGCACCGCACTAGATTTTTTGGATTATTTCGGTATCTTTGTGATATATTTCTCAGTATAGCCTGTAGTTTACTTTCAATTCTTAAATCCTGAAAACAGTTATCGTGTAGAGGAGAGTTCTCTGAAACGTGGATATTGGTAGCTACACGTAACTCAGAACATATCTGTTTATTTAGGCCGACAGTTTTTAGGAGCGAAGTTACGCACACGCACTGTCAACTGCTCATACAAATGTCACATTATCTCTGGCACACGCGAACCGCATTCACACTAGAATAAAAAACTCGGTTACATACATTAATATAATTTCCCTCTTAACTGACAACGCACGATACCACGGAATTCCACGATTCAGGGTGTCAGCCAATTTTTAAAAAAATGTCGCTCCTTTAAATGCTAGGGTGTATTCCATAATCCGGGCATTGAAGTGTTTTTAAACAACATTGCCAAGAGAGGAAACAACTGCTATTTAAAAGACCAAATTAAGATTGCTAAGGTAAACGTACCGGTAATGGACACTGTAAGAGGAATTCTCAATATTATTGTGCCATAACGAATTTTTTGTCTTTTATTTAATTATAAAATTGTTCTAAAATTTATATTTAGCATTTTTCCATAACTCCTAACAATGATAAATAGTTATTATTTATAATAAACCAAATTAAAGGTACTTTAGAGGAAGGCATGATAATGTTGTTATTTCACAAAGGGAAAATTAATCAAATGATTCACTAATTTAATTTTCTAAAAAGTTCCATGACAATTTTTCGGAATAAACGTTGATACCTATTTATTTAAATATAATATCAGATCTATCTATATAAATAAAATAAACGTTTTGTCTGTACTTTGAATAGAATTAACCCGTTTATGATATCCTACCGTTTCATATATTGCAGACTCTAAATCCACTTTTAAAAAAAAATTTATCTGTCTGTATATCCGCATTGCTACGAAATTTTGTCAGAGGTAAGTTCAGCAATGGCTAATGGTAGACTTTTGAAATTTTGGCATTATATTGAGGTTTGCTTGACTTAAAATATAGGCTTTAAATGAAAACAAAATATTGAGTAGAACCAAAGTTATGAATTCTTCAGTAATTGGTCTAGAGATCCCGGTTAGGCAGTTACCTCGATTCCCATCCCAACCTACTTTACCGCGAGCCACATTTAAAAGTTGTACTCTTCAACTGATGGAAAAAATTATCGAAACTCAACAGGAAAAATCCGGAATACCGAACATCTGTAACGCATTGTCGCATAAAACGGGTAAAACACACTAATTTTTCCACTTTGTCCGATCTTCCCGTTCAAGTTGTCATTCGATTCAACTTCTCGAGCCTAACAAATGTTGGATGCATTTTTAGGATTAACGGATTAGCCGGAAATCAGGAAAATAAAACTCACAAAAACATGAAATGATTTTATATTTTACTCCTGCTTTCACACAAGTATGATGAAATAGTTTTTTTAACAATGTCATTGCCTTCATTAGGTGGATTTGAAATTTTTTTCACTAACTTAAAAATATTTTTTAAAGTTTAAATTTAATTAGTAAATTGCATTTAACTTCCCTGAAAACATGTAATTTACGTTAAATATTACTAGTTTTCAAAAATTATTATTTATAATGTTTTCGCCACCCCCTCTCCGTTACCTTCTACAAATTGCTATGTTAGATTATAATTATACCTTCTGACTAGCATTTCCGGAGATTTATTTTTGATCTGGATAAGCATTTTTATTTTTTTATCCAGTTTCCAATTATCATATTCTTTCAAACTTTATATTTAGCCATTTATTATAGTTGCTGTCAATAAAAGACAGTTAATTTTTTTATTAAATGTACTTTTGAAGAAGACTTATATGAACATTGGGCATTTAAGCCTTGTAAAGTGACATCAAAGGGGATAAGATCTAAATGATATTAAATACCACTTAATTATGCAATAATACACTGAGTTTAATCAAAATCGTTAGAGCTGTTTTTGAGAACATTGTAAAGATGTGTTTCAGCGTTGATGTAAAGTGGCACTTCTGGTTAGCCGATTATAAGGAAAAAGTTGCTAGGACACCTAAATCATATACCTATTTTAAATACGTAATATCAGTTTCGCACGATTTATAGTTTTCGTGCTAGAGACATACAAACAGACGAATTTTCGGGACTTGGTTATTTGGACTCAGGATACTCCAAAACGTGTATTTCTGTTGAAAAGTCAGACTCAAATCGTTCACGATCGCAATACTTACCCTTACTATACATTATATATATAAGTAAGGTATGTAAGTGAAAGTAAAAATCAAAATAAATTCTGCACAGTTTAAAACAAAGAAATGGCGAACTACAGATGAATTATACAAAATTTCAAACTTATCTTCTAAAGAAAAGTGATAAGAAAACATCTCTGAAACAATCACCCAGCCTTGCTCCATTAAAAAATCAACTTATGTGTCACTGCCCCTCCCCCCTAAGTATTTCAGCTGCCAATCTAGTCATATTCACTAGTGGATCCAGGATTTAATTTTGGGGAGCTTCAGCTCGAAAGTTTATATATATATATTGTAACCAAGATTAAAGAAGCACTGGAAACAAAACAAACTCGACTCTCTTTTGTTTCCTGGGCAGATGACTAATTGATATTTTAGCATGTGCATGTACTCTTACATCTTATTGTATCTTGACTATCTTTGGATGTGGCATGCCATAATATTGTATATAAAATAAGTATCTTTTTTTTGTTATTTGTATTATCTTTATTATCTTAAATATCTTTCTTTTTTTAACTTTAATTGTATATAGTAATTATGTTTTAGTTCCCTCCTTTTCCTTGTATTTTATTTCTTTTTATTGTACATAGTATTAATTTTGTAAATATTTCTTTTTGTAAATAGATTTGTTAACCTTTTTGCTGCTTTATAATCAAATATCCAACCTAACCCCTTCTCACCTGAGCTAGCATGGTAGAGTAAAAATGTAATGATGGCCATTAAAGGGTAAGTACTTTCTATTTTCTAATTTATCTCTTTAGAGGTGAAAGGCTGTTAAGCCAGGCGCCCAATAAATAAAAATTGCTATGGAAAATTATACTTATTAAAAATTATTTTATATATTTTTATTTTATCCTTTTTTTGGTCATAATATATATATATATATATATATATATATAAATAACGAATATTACTTTGAAAGAAGAAGAAATAAACTAACTACTTATATGGAATAGTGTTTAAGTGATTCTTGAAGTTCAATTAAATTTAATTACTAGAACAATAATAATTTTGGAGATAATTTTTTTATATCTTTGTTATTATATTTTACCATTTGGTGGAGGGGGGAGCCCTAAAGCTTATTAAATATTCGCTATGAGAAATTTAATTCCTACCTTCATCAGGATCAGGTACGTTAGTGTATTGCTGTGGTGAGCCCAGTATCCTGCAATCTGCACCGCAATCGTTTCTATTCATCATTATTTCTGCTGCATTACCTTTAAAATAAAATAACAAAATATTATAACAAATAAGAATATTAATGACTGTTTTTCATCATTTCATATTGAAAACAAGTTAAAACTAATTATTTGTTTGTTTAATCAAGTTCTGCCTCAATCCGGATAAGATTTTTATATTAAAAATTTCACAATTTCAAAAACTGGACCTAAATTAACTGTCAAATAAATCGCTTCAGCATTCTCACCATATCAACTGGGTGCAAACGAAAAAACGTCTGCCAAGTAAGGTCAGTATAGCTTCCTCACCGTTTCCGTTGTATATTACAAGGTATACAATTTTTCGTATGAGAATAAAATCTCTGAGAAGCAGAATCGGAATAGCCGATTACAGTTACCCTTCAACATTCAACAACAGAGGGTCGTATTTGAATATTCCGTACTTGATTATGCTTAATAAAAAAATAAATAAATGAAAAAAAAATGCATACTGAACATGAATTTCAATACTGTTAGTGCAAAAGGTCTAATGTAAAAATGTATTTATTGTTTTACAAGAGTGCATAAAAAATCATTATTTCTTTATGCTTTATTAGAATAATTTCATATTTTATTGTCATCGGTTATTTTCCATAGTAGCATACTACTTATATCAGTTGCAGACTTCAAAATGTCACTTTTAATACACATAGAATTAAAGTTGAAAATTTTTACGTACGACCTTTTGCACTAATAATAATGATATACACTGCCGGATCCAGATTTAATTTTGGGGGAGCGGCTTCAGCCCGAAAGATTTTTTTTTTCATATATTTATATATATATATATATATATATATATAACGATAATTAATTTGAAAAAAATCCACTGCAAATTATTTCGGAATGATATATTATTTCCAAACAATTATACATATAAAGTAACATTCAAATCCTAGTTATGAAGAAAAACAAATAAAAGGTGATTCCAATTATTGGATTAATCTTTTATTTAATCATTAGTAATATGCTAAAAAAATAGCATTACATCAGTAACACTTTCAAAAATCAAAACAACCTTTGCAATAGCACATGTAAAAAAAAAAACAAGAGACCATATCTTTGCTCCTAATTGTCGGATTTTAACTTTTTTTTTTTTTTGTTTTTCAGGAAATTCCGTAAACTTTTAAAAAACCATCACAATATTGACAAAAATGTGTATAATTCTTGAGTTATTCGAAATTTAATTTTACCATCCCTCGTAACTTCTTTTTGAGCTTCTTTTCGTTGAAATATGTTATATAGATAAATTTAAAGGGCGTAGAGAAAATGACTTTAGCGAAGTTTCATTGAAATCGGAACATTCGTTTAGGCGCACTAGCGGATCCAGGATTTAATTTTGGAGGGCTTCAGCCCGAAACTTTTTTTTTCATACAAATAACGATAATTACTTTGGAAAAACAGAAAGAAACTAACTACCTATATGAAATGGTGTTTAAGTTATTCCTTAAGTACTTTTAAATGTAATTACACAAACAATAATACTTTAAGAGGTATTTTTTAAATTTTTTTCCCCATAAAACATGGTTATATTTTTCCATTTTGGGGGAGGCTTCATCCCGAAAGCCCCCCTCCCCCCCCGTAGATCCGTCCGTGTTTAGGCGCTACAGTCTATAGCAACGGAGGATTTTCGGCCGCCATTTTGAAAATATAAGGCGAATAGTAATGTCGTTGAAGGAGGATCATCCTCTGGTGATCTCTGATTTTATATCCAAATTCGAAGAAAATCGGTCTAGTAGTTTTGGAAAAAATGCGCGGACGGCGGACTAGTAGTGCATATATAAGAGAAAGTGGTGGACAGCATTCAATAAAATTGACACTACGTTATTTTTTCACCAAAGTCTACCTTATATCTAACTTTGAGCCAAATTGAACGAACCCTTTCTGAAATATTGGCATATCTAAAAATATACGTTTGCGCGTGCGTAAGCGGAGGTGCTGGATGGAGTTTGATAAAATTGATATGGGACCATCTAGGCATTAATGAGCATGATCCCTGAAAATTTCATGAAGATTGGATGAACGGTACTAGGTGATATGCCCGTCACATCGATTTGACTACAGACAGACAGACAAACACCGAACCAAATTTGATCCTTGATGTCTGAAACGTAAAACGCGAGTGAAAATTTTCGATTATGAGCAAAAAAAAAATGTCTATTTCTCGCACGAACACAATGCTTCCCTACCTTCGGTAGTGAGGAAGCAATACGCATTTAGTTCTTCACTTCACTAAATTTACAATTTTATTTAAGTGTAAATAAAACATTACAATGAACACAAGTCTAGTAAATCAGATTAAATATAAAACCTAATATAATCTTTCATTGCCACAAGTTTGTTGCCTATCATATTTTACATCCATTGTATTCTTAACATTAATTTTGATTATAAAATTAAAATTAATAAAATTGTTACCAGGCCATTTATACTATACGTACTTCCCGAATTTCTTCCAACTTGAGCAAAATCGATTGAGCCTTTTTTGCAATATATTGTAACAAGGTGTCCGGTAAGGAGAAGGTTATTTTGATAAGAATGATAACAGACAAGAGTTACAAAAACGTTTATATAAACAATGGGCCAATTGACATCAGGAAAGTAAGGAATCTGGTGTTTTGTGTTTTGATAATTGTCACGTTTTCTGTTGAATAGGAAGTGATAACTAAAAAACTATCTAATTTAAGTAGTTAATAATTATTTCCATATAAACTAGATCAAATTTACTTCAAATGAAGATTGAATTTGTCCTTGTTTAAACCATTTAAAGAGGACTTTGAGGGCCTAAATTAAACTAAGTTCTGTTTTTTAAAAAACATAAATTATTCGTGATTTTTATCTAACTACACTACTGATGCCCTACTTTTACAAAAACGTGTCCGTTTAATACGTTTTAAGACCTCATTAATTACGTTGAGGTTTATTATGCAAAAATTTGAGATTCTCCTCAAGTTGTGTAATATTATTTTTTATCATGACACCTAAAAGTACCCGTGTTTTCAGAAAAAAATACTACAATTAACTGTTGCAAAAATTGTGTTTCATATTACACGTTTTATTTATTTAAAAAATAAACTAATAATTCTTCAAATATTGTTTAATATTTTTGAAACTGTGTTCTTCGACAGCTCTGTCTAAAGGCCACCTTACACGGTCAATATCGAATATATTGACTGTCTGAGGGATATATTGTAACAATTGTATTAAAATTTGTACTATGCATACAACGTACAGTATGAGAATATTGCTTCAATATTATTGATTCAGGAATATTGACCGTGTAAGATATAATTTTGGAGAGGGAGGGGCTTCAGCCCGAAAAATTTTTTATTCATAGACAAATAACGATAATTAATTTGAAAAAAAAAGAAAGAAATTAACTACCTATATAAAATGGTGTTTAAGTGGTTCTTGAAGTCCTATTAAATGTAATTACAGGAACAAGAATAAATTAAGAGATAGTTTTTAATATTTTTTTCTGTAAAACATGGTTATATTTTACCATTTTGGGGGGCTTCAGCCCGAAAGCCCCTCCTCCCGTAGATCCGCCTGTGGTGTAAGGTGGGTTTAAGGATCTGTATTTATAAGTGACAAATATAATGTTCCTGATCCTAATATTTAAGTTTTCATGAAAATAATTAAAGCAATCAAAAGATATCTTTGTTTTAAACGTAAGTTTTAGCGCTAGAAACATTAATTTTGTCGCTTATAAATACAGATCTGAGCTAGAGAACTGAGAGCAAAACTCAGTTTCATAAACATTTCACAGGAAAGATATTTAAGATTATATTTTAAAAATTATATAAAGAAAAAGTATATTTAGGCAATTATTTGTCTTATAATACGTCCCGGATCATGGAAAAACAAGAAATAAAAGCTTTTCAACAGTAAATTGTAGTAATTTTTGCTGAAAACAAGGATATTTTTAGAAGACTGGATAGAAAATCACATCATTTATTTACATAACTTAAGGTGAATCTCAACTTTATTAATATGGACTTAAAGATTATTAAACGGGGAAGTTTTTTTAAAAGTGGTGCATCTGTAGTATTGTTGGATGATGATAAAAAAAATCGCGAATAATTTATGATTTTTTTTTAAAACAGAACTTAGCTTAGATTAGCCACTCAAAAGTCTTATTTAAATAGCCTTAACAATGACAAAATCTATTTTAATTCAAAGTGAATGTTATTTAGTTTACAGTGAAATAATTGTAAATTACTTAAATTAAATATTTCTTTTAGAAGATGGCCTCGGGACCATCTAATATAGAAATATAATTGGAGTGCTACCAATGGGTAGTTTCTCCTCATGTTGTACATGTCATATTACTTGTTCATATTTACTTGTTGTATTTATTATTAATTACAGTTGTAAATTTCGTTAATAAAAAAAAAAATTCTTTAGTTATCGCATCCTATTCAACAAAAAACACGATTTATTAAAAAAAAACTTTGATTTCCTAACTTTCTGCTAAAAATTGGCCCATTGCATATATAAACTTTTTTGTAGCTCATGAGATCTGATAGCATTCTTACGAGAAATCCTGTGTATGAGAGGAAAATTTGTTTACGCATATAGGGGATGGAATTTGATAAAATTGATACTGGACCACTTTTTTACTAATCTATAACTTCCCTACAGCTTTGAGCCAATTCAAACGAGCAATCTAACTTTACTAAAATAGCGACATTAGCACTTATTCCAGATTTTTTTTTTATTCCTCTTGTTACCGAAAGCAGTTGAAAAACATCAAAATCAAAAACACTAACGTAGGAAAAAAGACACTGTGTTGCCCATTATTTTTGAAATGTATAACCGCACTTTTAGATGTTTGCTCATCCGGAAGCGGAAGTAATATATACAATTTGATGAAAATGATACATATATATACACTAGCGGATCCAGGATTTGATTTTGGGGGGGGCTTCAGCCCGAAAGCTGTTTTTTTCATAAAAATAACGATAGTTACTTTGGAAAAAAAGAAAGAAACTAACTACCTGTATGAAATGGTGTCTAAGTGATTCCTAAAACCCTTTTAAATATAATTGCACAAACATTAATACTTTAAGAGATACTTTTTTAATATTTTTTACGATAAAACATGGCTATATTTTACCATTTTGGGGGGGTCTTCAGCCCGAAAGCCCCCCCCCCGTAGATCCGCCCGTGTATATATATATATATATATATATATATATATATATATATATATATATATATATATATATATATATATATATATATATATATATATATATATATGTATATGTATATGTATATATGTACCAATCCTTTGAAATTTTTTTTTAAAACAGGATTAATAATATTACGTGATTTGCTCGTCACATGAATTCAATTTTAGACATGGATTCAAATTTGTTCCTTAAAGTCCTAAACATAAAACGAGAACGGAAATTTTCGATTCTGAGCTTAATTATTTTTTTATTCCTCTTCCTTCAATAATGAAAAAGTAAAAAAAAAAAAAACAATTAACTTGTCTTCCTTTGACCTATCATTTCTTCACAAACTTATCAATATTAAATTATAAAGAGAAGAATAGTTGAGGTGATCAGTCAAATAAGAAGGCAAAAATAAATGATAATATTTATTTTGACATTTGCCGACGTTTCGACCTGAAGTTCAGGCTTTCATCAGGGCTGTCTCCAAAAAGTGTTAACGGAGAAAAAAAAAAGACAGTCCTGATGAAGGCCTGAACTTCAGGTCGAAACGTCGGCAAATGCCAAAATAAATAACCATTTACCCACAATATTAAATTAAATTTAAATTTTACCTGAGATAGGAAACAGGGCTACCAGAGCCAACAAAACAACACTGATCCTCAAAAGCATCTTACTGAATAAAGAAAAATCTGCCACACTTTACAATTTTATATCATTGTATATTTAGGTTTAACAACACAACCGTCTTAAATAAACAAACAAACAAAAAGTTACTCCGAATAGAACGTGTCAGTTATTGATTCGATGTGTTATTTTTAAAAAACAAGTCGTATAGTGTTTTGAGAAGACTCACATCGTTTTAAATTCAATTGTAAAAGACATATTTGAAACATGAAGTTAATTAACGAAAATGGTTTTGCTTTCAGACAATTGATCGATTCAACTTGTTTATTCTGATAGCGATTGTAACCAGACATAACCCTCTCAACCTTCTTGTATTATTACAGGCTTTAGTAAATAAATAATTCTCTCGATCGATGCATTTCAACAAAGGTTTAAGAATCAGATGAAAATAGAATCTTATTTTTTTCTTCAACAATTCCTCGATGATACAGCCAAATGGCTGAATCTTCCGACCGCAGAATTGAAGATAAGGAATATGATGTAGACTTAACTGTGAGTTATTTTTAAATTATCAATTTACTCATTACTTAAGATTAGATAATGTTTGATATTATTACTTCTTTTTTTTTTGTTTTAACCTCAATGATTTCAGTATACATTCAAACATTATGACTTCAAGAAGGATTAAGAGAAAAACCTTATCAAAGTTTGTAATTTTGCAGGATTGTCTATTACATCATATGGATATTAGTGTTTCCGAATCAGAAAAGAGAACTACTCCAGCATTAAATATTAGGGATTGCTACACAGTTTATCTTGTCGAAACGAGGTACCTTTGATACATGCATTAATTTATATTTGACATTTTGCATTTTAGTTATGTGCAATAACTATTTAACATGTACATATGTGACCTCATTCCAAAAGTAATAAATTACCGTTTTGAGGTCAAAACAAGTAAGATGATTCTCAGTGATGTTTTGTTTAATAATCAAATAACTGCTATTTTATAGATCTTGTGTTAGTATATTGATGATAAGTTGGTTGTTTTCAGTCAATGAAAATACATAGTAAAGACAAATAAACTATATTTATTTTTATTTCCTTCGTGCCAATGTTTCAACCTACGTTTTATTTCTTCTTTAAGGCTAAACAAAGACAAGATAACATATAAATATTGAGAAAATGGTGGATAGTTATAGTAATAATATATAAGTAAAGTGGTATAGTCTAATAACATGTAAGTAGTTAAACTTAACATTAATAAATATATAGATTGGCGAATATTATATACATAAATTAAGGAAACATAAAGAAATGGTAACAAAGCTGAGTCTTATCAAATAGCGGTAGCAAAGTTAGGATTTATAAGATAACGGTAAAAAAGTTAGAGACTTTTGAAATAATGAAACAAACTTAAGAAGTCACTTATTAATATAATATTTTATTTTCTTAAAAGTAATATATGTTTTTTAGGAAATACATATTGTTTTTATAGTTAATTGATTATTGCCGTTTTTACTGTATTACTAGTCTTGTTGTTATCATTGAAATAAACTCTTACAAACTGTCAATTTGTTTTAGATAAGATTTAATCCCGGTTAAAACTTGATTAGCATCTATCAGTTTCCTTAAATACTGGTCATTGACTTATAGTTTCTTTTTTTAAACTGCGATGATTTTCTTCAAATTAACTTAATTATATCTAATTTTTGTTCAATCATGTTTACTTAGTAGTAATTTACTTTAGATTAACTTCAGTTTCAAATTCATATTATGCTTCTAAAAACTATTATAATTCATAAAACACCTCTCCCTTTTATAATATATAGCAAACGTTCTTGGTAAGATATAAAACTATTTATTCTTAAAGTAGTAGAATAGAATTAAATTGGATCTAATAACGATAAATGAGCATCTCACAAGCAAAAATGTGCATTATCTTTATGAAAGTTTGAGTTACTATCGTGACTTTCTGTTGTTTGTTCTTATATTAACCTATTAATCAATTGTCATATTTTGTGTTTAGAATAACTGACAACAGCTGGGAAATTATTGAACATGGACTGGGTCAAATATGGAGGAGATATTCAGAGTTCGAACAATTACGGCATTACCTATGCTCTACGTACCCTTGGGCTGTTATACCGCCCTTACCTGAAAAGAAGCATTCATTTCCAGTCCTCGGAAACTCGAACGATACCTTCGATCCTGACTTTATTGATAGGAGGAGGGCAGCGTTGGAGGTACAGATTTGCTATTTTATTATTATATTTATATTTTATAATAACTGTTAACAAAGTTTTTTATATTAAAATAAGTTATTATTAGGTTCTAGAAATCCTTTAATATTAATTTATTTTTTATTTTGGGCTGTGATTCCTTAACATCTTCAGAAATAAATTAATTAAATGTAATATTATGATTTAATAGCGGTCTGAATATTCTCATATATCAAGTTTTGATCAATAATAAATTTGTCTGTAAATTAATTCAGAGAGACTTGAGCTTTTAATTGATTGTAAAATTATTTATTTACTTATTTAAAGCATATATTCTAACCTGTATAAAAATTGTGATGTATAATCTACTTACTTATTACCTTAAAATTATTTTTAAACCCCACTTATTCCTGTTGAATAAATCCATTACCTAGGACTCTCCCTGGACAAACAACTAACTTGGAATCCTCATACCAGACTGAAACGACACGAAACTGCTCGATGTACCCGACTTCTTCAGCACTTAATAAACAACCGCTCTAAGCTTCTAATTAATTACCAATGACCTATAAACATGGCTATAAGGCCTATTTGGATTTACGGAGTTGAGCTTTGGACCTCCATTAACCATCGAATTCATATCGTATCCAATCCAAAATCCTTCATAAAAAACCCAATGTTCCTTATGTTTACGATTTGGCCCAATTCAGATATCTATACTTTTTTAAGCTTGCTTTCTCTTTGATTCCTGAGTACGCTCTGAGGCATCTAAAAAGAAGATGGCCCCATGATCTTCTAATGTAGACGTATTATTAGGGTGCTACCAGTGGGTAGTTTCTTAACAAGTCTTCTCATGTTATCATTTGTTTACATTTACTCTATGTATTGTTATTTTATGTATGGTTATGCAAATATCCTGAATAAAATAATTTTTAAAAATTATATTTAGGTTTAGAAGTAATATTATTATTTTTATTAGATTGAATTCTATATTTGCAGACATTTCTACACCGAATCGCCTCCCACCCAGTCATTAGTAAGGATTCCATGTTCCTAATGTTTCTGCAAGAAGAGGAAGGTTGGAGGAACAGTATTAAAGATATCGGTTTGTTTGATTTTTGTTATTATTATTTTAAATAATTTAATCTATTCTGTTATGAAAATTTCTTTATTTTTTTTTTCAGGCTATGTCCAGTTGGCCGAAGATAAATTTAAATGTTTAAGTGCTGGAGTTCGGGTAAAAAATATTGATCCTGAATTTGAACAGATAAGAAAATACAGCCGTGCGGTACAAGTAAGTCCATATTTAATCATCCTATATAATTGTTTATTTATTTATATATAAGTATATATGTTTATAGAAAAAAAATAATAAAAAGTACCATTACAAAAATTAATTTTTAACTACACAAGAGTTACTTATTGTACTGATTACTAGAAAAAGGTGTGTCAGAAAAACAACTTTACCTTTTAAGTTAACTTTGCATGTTGATTTTAGTGTAAAATTGAAGAATGAATTACCATTTCCATTAATTCAATTCCATACATGGAGTGTCACATAAATAATGGAAAATATTTAAAGAAGTAGTTTTAAACCTCAAAAGCATTATAAAGCTTTTTATTATTAAGCTGTATGAATTTGATACAGAGATGTTTGTCACTTATCATTTCATTTTAATATTTAGTTATGGGTCAGTCCACTCCCACATTTTTACTGTAATGATAAGATAGTAAAACACAGAGTCACACTTACTATAATACAATAGAATCACGGTGGAGTACACAATATAGTTTGAAGAATAGTATGTTTCCTGAAAACGAGAAACGCTGCTATAGTTATGCGCAAAAATTTCAAACATGAATCAATTTGGTCCTGTGACCTTCGAAACCCTTTTACACAGTTGTTTCTCAAAGTGAATTCATCCGAGAAACTTGACCGTTCAACCAATTCATATCATAATGAGATATTTGCTTATACTTTCTTTCTCTATTTTTACCGATTATTATTGTTACGTTTGACATTGATTAACATCAAATATAAAACTGGATTGCATAGTTTCATTTTAACTATGACACATACAAATTTTCATTTATTTAAAATTTTTCTTGTACATATAATGAGAAACAAATGTTATTACTTGTTGGATGTTGGCCAAGCCTAGTTTAGAATAGAGTATAGATAAGTGCTATAAATAAAGAATTTCTTAGTTTATTATTTTAAAAATGGTTTTGAGATTCCATATAATTGGAGCAGAAAATATAGTTTTTTGCATTACCTGCAAAAATTGTGAATGATGATCATGAGGATTCATTTTGGAAACAAACAACTCATATTATCTACAATTTTTGAAGTGAAAACTTTTTTAGGCGCTTTTTTCACTTTTTTGTAGAGAGTCAATTAGATTGATCCGTCAAATTTTCGAAGTTTGAACGCTTGGGTAAAGTCGGCTAGAGTCGACAAATTAAAATGTTTTTGCATATGGATTAAAATATCTCAGAAACTAAAAATCGGGACTGCATACTGTAAGCGAGGAGATTGTTAAGCATTTCATCCACTCTGTAATAGGCTATAATTCAAAATTGTATCTTAACGTGACGCCGTGTCAGGGAGGCGAATAGGAAAAAATATTGTCGAAAACTAAATTATAACTAGGTTAGTTGATCATATGGATTAAAATATTTCAGGTACTAGAAATCTGATCTGTATACGAGGGAAATGTTCAACATTTCATCCTCTTTATAATTAGCTATTATTTATAATTTATATTGCTTATTATTAATCTCTCCTTTTTGATGTTTTCACTTACATTATGTGGTCTAAAGCACAATTTTTTTTTTAATGTTGATTTGTTTTACCTAAATGTTCTTGTGCCACTTAACATGTTAAATAATATTTTAAGTAAGTATGGACCTTAATAGTAATTTTTGTGTTGTAAATAGTTTCTATTTTTATTAATATTGTAATTGATTTTTTTATTTTGTCTACTTGATAGATTGAATACTTTCAACACTTTTTCTTAGGGGAGCCTTTCTAATCTACTTCGTATCAGATCTAGAGCCGCTTTAAGGATTTACAATATTCACAAGTTGAGCAGCGGTTATGGCAAGGTCTTCAGCGAATGGAGTGCTATCGAGAAAGAAATGGGCGATTCACTTCAGGTTAGCAATTATACTCTTTTACTTCGCATGTAATATTTTTGAAAAAAAATTATATGGCTTGATTATCTAAATTTTATATTTCAGCGTATAGGCCATTTTTTCGATTCTATCGCTTCAGGCAGTGAAACATTTTTGGAAGAAGAAGAACATATCATAGATCAGTTGAAGGAGTAAGTTCATGTTTGTAATGCATTTTAAAATTGTGATAGGTTTGTATAGTACATTTGATTGTGAACTGATCATAATAATAAAGGGCTTATTGAGCTCAAAGATTTAATGTTGATACCATCAATAATCATTGTTTTTCAATCCAAGTTTATACTAATATATTTAATTTTAATGAGATTCCATCAATTAAGAATTCAAATTTTTCCTTAACAATTTTTTCAATTTTTTTTAGGTATTTACATTTCGCTTCTTCACTTGAAGATCTTTGTGGAAAAAGAGATGTATTGCAGTTAGATCTAGAGCAAAATCGTGAATCTTTGAAATCGAAACGATCTGAGAAAGAAAAAATTTTACAAGGTACTCTACTTTATAAGTATGTTTACTATTTAAAAAAAAAAATTATTTGTGTAGATAGTTGGTTGTATGATAATTCAAGAAGGAGATGATCCAGGAGGCAAACAAAAAAGAAAAGTAAACGAACCACATAATGATCGGATCTCATGATCTGTTTCTCCACACTGATAAAGACCTTCAGTGTTGGCTGAAAGGGGAGGGTAGGGTGGCCGAGCAGGCTAATGTGTGTGTAAAATACTCATTGCCCGGCAACCAGATGATAACCCGAAGATTATGATTTCAAAATCCGGTACCGGAGGGACTTTTAACTCTGGCATAATTCATTCACCCTCTCTTCCGCCCCAGGAAAAATCCCCTACAGTCTGTATGGAAGGGGAGAAAAAAGAAGAAAAAATTTGGATGGAGACTCCTGGATCATCTCCTTAAAAAAAAATTAAAAATACCTCAAATAAATAAATAATAAATCAAAAAAATTTTAATTTACCTCTTTGATAATCTATATCACAATATAATTCATAGGTGTTCTTACATGGGAATTGATAATTATCTCGATTTCCAAAAAAATCTATTAGCAACTCATATCGTTTTAACTGTTTATGTTTTATTATTAAATGTTTTAAACTTCCCTAACCCGATGAACACCATTGATTTAAACATTTTTAAATAAACTTTTTTTTTTTTACTTTAGGTAAATCAAGTCTTGTTTCTCGCCTTTTGGGTTCGATCGATTCTGAAGAGACAAAAAATATGAGGCTCTCTTCGGTCGACCAAAAAATTCATGAAGGGCAGGAGAGTATTTTTCAAAATGAAGAAGTTCTTAAGTAATTATTGATTCTTTAATAAAAAATAATCTGGTTTAATTATTTACTTATTTAAATCTGTTTTTTTTTTTTTAGAGACTTCAAATTTAAAGCTGTCGCAGACGTAGAAAGTTTTCAAAAAAGGAAGGTCGCCGACCTCACTGAAACTTTAGAAGACTATATTAAACTGCAAATCAAAATGGCGCGAAAGGTATAGTAATTTAGAAACTAATAATCATGTCGTTATATTATTATTATTATTATTTTTCATCTATGAATTTAATTTTGAGTTTATGGCTTTGAGAGCACGGTTATACGAAATGAATAACAGTTTACGATGTTTGATAAGACATTGAATGCTACAAAAATACTCTGACTGACTCACAACGTGAACTCTTTAACACCGACTGTAAGAATCAGCGTGAACTGATACATTCTAGCCCGATGACTTTCGACCTTTTAATAATGTATTGCTTACATTAGACTTTCCTTACTGTGATACTCGCTCGTACCACTGATGGTATGCAAACTGTAAATAACCTACTAAAAGTTAAATGTAAATAATTAGTTTTGGTGGGAATTTTTTTAAATTTTTTTATTAACGAAATTTACAACTGTAATTAATAATAAATACAACAAGTAAATATGAACAAGTAATATGACATGTACAACATGAGGAGAAACTACCCATTGGTAGCACTCCAATTATATTTCTATATTAGAAGGTCCCGAGGCCATCTTCTTTTTAGACGCCTCGGAGGGTTATCAGGAATAGAAGAGGAAGCAAGTTTGGAAACGAGAGGGTTCGGATGGTTCAGAAGTTTATTATGAAAGGACAGGTATCTGGATTGAGCTAAATCGGAAACATATGGTACATTAAGGTCATTATGGATGATTTTATTTGTGACAAAGTAGGGAGCATTAAGGATTTTATGAAGGATTTTGGATTGTAGGGATTGGATACGAGAGGAATTTGATGGTTTAGTAGAGCCCCAAAGCTCGATCCCGTAAGTCCAAATAGGCCTTATTATAGTAATATATATGAGTCTTTTGTAAATAGTTGGCAGTTTAGAGCGTTTGTCTAGTAAGTGCTGGAGTAGTCGGAAACGTCGGGCGGTTTCTAGTCGTTTCAGTCTGGTATGGGAGTTCCAAGTGAGTCGTTTGTCAAGGTGGAGTCCTAGGTATCGGATTTGGTCAACAGGGATAAGTGGGGTATTGTTAAAGGATACTGTAGGACAGGAAGTCATAGGTTTACGACGAAGAGTAAAGGTAATTTGATGGGATTTATTGGAGTTTATTTTAATCCTCCAGTTTTGGTGGGAATAGTAAATATTCTTCCGCTTTTATATATCGGGGATTTAGATTATTTACACTCATGAATTATTAAAACAAATTCCCGGCACTGGATATAGACTATTTGAGGGTGTTTAACTGTCGTTGGGAAATTCGGGAATCTAATACCTTTTGTGACACTGCGTGGAGAAGAAACAATAAGAATACATATATGAAATGTGGGACTTAGTAAACACACTTTGAATGAATTGACTCGCCTGGTTTGTTATTCTTCAATTGTGAGGCATATAGGACAACTAATAAAAGGACTATTCACTCCTGTCTAACAAAACAATTTATTTTAACAACTGATAATAAATGAATATATTAAAGTCTTATAACTGTCGGCTTGATATTCTTGGTCTTCAATGTCCTGCCTCTCTCATCTCAGGTAAAGTCCTCTCGCCTCCGTTTATATGCCTCAAGTCTTTGGCGTCCTCTTCCAGCTGCGGCTACCTGATCAGACCTTTTTTCTTCTTTATCGATTGTTTATCAATATAAGACTTTTGAATGAACAATTTGTCCACTTCACAATTGAGTACAATCCACCGTGCAACCTCACATTCCTATATATTATATATTCCTTCTCATTCCCTCACACAATGTCAACTAAAGGAGTAAATACAGGGGGATGTCTACTACAGAACTATCAATACAAGATATTGATACAAATTTCATTTTAACAAATTAAATGAGGGATAACAATTTATGCTTTCACTTATCCATATTGAAAGTATCGTGATCATGAATAATTTTGAATCTGAGTTTTCAAAAGAAATACCCGTTTTTGAAGTCCACTGAATGTGAACAAATAAATTCTATGAAATGGTCTGTTACTACAGACTACTACTGTTATTACAAATAATAATAATAATAATATAACTCGTGGCAGACCACTTTATACCATTGGGATACTTCCTAAATAAATAAGAGGTTGTTTAATAATAATAAACAAAATTATAAGAGAATTAATATATTTATTTACATCAGGTGTGGGTTACTGACAATCAGATCAACTCAGACAAACTATTATTATTTACACTATTTATATTAAAATTAAACATTGATTTTAAAATAAAGTCCAGTATGAATTGACAAGCTAACCTTTTTTCTATATATACTATTTCTTTCTTTGTTGTCCTAAATTCATTTGTCTTCAAATACTTTCTAATGTTCTGCCAAACACAACTTCCAATATGGTAGTAATATTTCTGGGTTTTACCCACTGGAGCCAGGATCTCTTCTATCCTGTCTTCACTGCAGCCAAACAACAACTGTTTGCCAAAACCAAAAGCTTTTTCCCTCTCCTCTTTGGGATTTTCCTTCTTGGGAAACTACAGAGCAGCCATTTTCTTTTCCCTGCACTAGTAGAACTACATTAGCTTGCCTTTTAATTGTTCAATATTCATTTATTAAACCCTTTTTACTCACTTTCAATAAAGGTGTACATTACAATATTCTTTTTATCAAAGTGTAAATATTTGCCTAACTGAGAGATATTTAGTAGGCCGCAATGCAGTATATTAAAGAATACCTTTTGAATATTACTGTTATAATGCTTTATCTGAGTAGATTAATAATAATCGGCTTAGTGAACCCGAAGGTTCGATGCTGATACCACGCTCGCTGTCTACAAACCTCTATCTACTCTCCGCTGTCCGAACCCAACCTTAATGCTTTGCTCTACCCCTCGTACATTTTTCCAGTTGGTCTAGTGCTTATTAAAATTTTAGAGGATTTATTCACTACTAAGCTAAAAAGTTTTACATGCTTAACTAAGCTGTATTCTCAATTATATTGATCTTGTACAATTCAGCAGTTTGTAGCTGTTTAAATTCCAAACCACACAGCCTTATGTCACCAAAATGCAGGAAAAGAAAAAAGAAAAACAATCAACGTTTCGTCAATTCAAGCATATTCAGGACAGAAGAGAATAGCAAGTCGAATATCACTTTCTGACCTCTAATCACATACTGATATGTGATGCAATGCAATACCAGTATGCGATTGGATGTCATGGAGTAATAGTTCGATTTGCTGTTGTCTTCTGTCCTGAATATGCTTCAATTGGCAAAACGTTGATAGGTTGTTGTTTTTTTTCAATTATAACATAACATTTATGATCTGTTTCTTGGTTAGTTTATTACTAATTGATATTAATATAAAAATATTATTAACTCCATTTTAAGTTTTAGGACAGAATGTACAAGCTAAGTAATTTCACAACAGAAAAATAAAAACCATTTCCAGTCCTTAATCTAGATTTCCTCTTCAATTTTGTTTCTTCTCGTTATTATCGGCTCTTCCAAAATTTCTTTATATGTTCTTATGTAATCCATTCTATAAAATTAACACCAAAAATGTCGCTGATTCTGCAGCTAATCATATATTTTGTTTTATCTGTTCATTTCATTTCAATCCCAGGATCTAGAACAGCCTTCATCAAAGTTGCTGTTTTTTTGTTTAAATCTGAATAGGTTACACTGATTTAAATTTTAACTAGATTTAACAAATTTTTAATCCTCACCTTATTTTTTGCTTATAACTTTACATTTGTATGATGAGAATATTTTATGATGTTTTATTACTCATTCCTTTTTTCAGGGTCTGCAAACATGGAGCAACATCAAAGACTGTATTAATAGTATACCTACTTAAAATTTATTTATTGTTCGTTACTTAATGAAACGTATTTACTTAATTAATGATCTGATGATATTAATGGAACAAATGGTATTATTCATTAAAAGACTCTTGTATTTAAATAATAATAACCAATCATTTCAATATTTCTACCCATCAATATGAATGATAGATCAACTTTTAAAAATAGATTTATAAACCACCTGAAATTTTATTCTTGGTTACTGAACAAAATTTTATTATGATAACCGTGGAAACCTATTTTATATGGTTTTGTGGTTCACCCTTGTGCCATCCATTGTTTTAATATTAACATAACAAGAATTAAAATCAACAAGTTGCCAAATCAAATTTAAAAAAATAATATTTTTAGAAAACATTTTATACTTCTCTTAGTCTATTGTTAACTACCTCAGGTTACATCATGAAGCAATATATATATTTATTAATAAATACTATCTCTTATAATCCAATGTATTTTATATAATATTCATTTATGTATTATTTATTTATTTTTTGTGACTGAATTGGTACATTAATTATATTATGTTGTTATTTTCTACCATAGCGAAATACTACTTTTTTTTTCTTTTGCAATCTGTATTTGTGGACAGTTTCATTTTATTATTTTTTTATTTTTATATAAAGTCAAAAGTGGAAAACATTTTGTTTCAAAAATATATCTTAGCATTTATTCTTATTAATTCAAGATTACATACAGAAACTCTTAGATTTATATATCATTTTCAAATTGTTTATAGTCATTAACTTATGGTAAATCTTATTCTATTTCAGAATTTTTGAAATCTTATTTGTTTTATAATTATTTATTTCAAAATCCAAAATTTAACTAACAACTAAATAAAAATTAACTATTAGAAAATTTTGATTCCTGAAGTTATTTTTAGTTTCTTTTATTGAACAATGAAAAGTACAAATTAAAACCAATCTTCATAAGGTAATTATTGTTTTTCAGCTTTCCGATTTCCAAAAAAATCTTATATTATTTTTTTACTAAAAAGTTCCATATGCTAATCTTCGAAATGTTTATGAACTATGCTGCGCTAATAAAAATCTGGATAGTATATATATTAATTGTTTAAAAGTCCAATGCTTTCCAAATATTTTCTAGTAATATTAATTTATAATGAGAGGACACAACAGCCTTAAACAATTAATTTATAACCTACCTTGATTTCTTACATGAAGTTCATGTAAAATTTTTAAAAAATTAATAATTTTATAAATCAAAATTAATTTTTCTTTCTTTTATCGATTATGTTTCAGCTACAATTTTTTTCCCTTGTTCATTGCTTGCCAAATAATAACATTGACAAAAGTTAATACCTTAAAAAGATATAATTATAAATCCGTGTGATGAAATAAAACATATCGACTGAAAAATGAAACAGTATAGAAGGTAAAGTACTCTAATTTATCCAAATATAGTTGTATTACCTAATTAAAATTTCTTATTGGTTATCAAACGTAATAAAAATAAAAACTGATCAAAATTGCATATATAAAATATATAAATGGAGTTTATCTTACAATCTATATTAAACTAAAGATTTGTAGCTAAACTAAGGTATTTGTAGAAGTTGGTTAGGATTGCAGTCGAAGATGATATAAGTTCACTCAAATAAAATGTTTAATTTTTATTTTTTGTGTGTGCTGATATATTAATTATTCATTTATCTTTTCATGTCTTAATTTTTTGTCTAGATATGTTTGTTCTGGTTCCTATGCAACCAGAACAAATTCCTTAGCAACCAACCGAAGTAAACATTTTTAGATTGAAAGTCCTGACTATCAACGTTGATAATTTTCAAATCACAAATCTGTCTTTAAATTTTGTTTTTCATTATTTACACATTCTTATTTTGTTTGTCACAATCTAAATTTTCATAGTTTTTTATTATATCTTTTGCTTGGAAGATGAGTATCAGAATACAAAAAAATTGAATTATAAAGGAGAAGCGTTTAAAGTTAGCATATTCAGATTTATCGCTGTCCCTAACTTGCTTTAAAACATCAAAAATTGAACATTTTCTTAATCAATTGTGTTCACCTTATTTGTTTAAAAGAGGAAATTAATCTTCAAATTGTGATAATTTAAATATGAATTTTGGAATTAAATCTTAGCACTATAGTATGATTTTATTTATTTTTTGTTAAAGGAATATTGGTGAATAATAGACTATAGAAAGAAAAAAAAAAATGTTTGTTTAGTAGCGCTGTTCTTCGTAACGAACAATATATTGTTTAGCATCTTAAATTATTGGTGTAATGTTTTTTTAACTGGTTGTTATCTTATTGTTTGCCCTAGTAAAAAAATTAAATGTCGGCATACAACAAAAAAATTCAACTTTTTATTTACGTGAACTTTCATCACATCACCTTTTCTCCCTGATTAATCATCAATTTCTACTGTTTGATATAAATTCAACAATATCACTAGTATTATTAACATTTTATTAAAAAAATTTCATTCCTTTGTTTGTTATTCAAAGCTATAACCTCTTCTAATGAATAAGCTAACATCAGGATGGAAATGATTCAAAATGTTTTGCCATTAGTGACAATAAGGATTGTTACCATTTAAGTTAGCTATTACCAGTTTGTTATCACAGTATTATACATTCCGCTTGTTTATAGAAAATGTATAAGTTACGAACAACCTATTATGTTTTTGTCATAAATATATCTTTTGTATATAAGTATTAAATATTTATTGGTTGTTACGTTATCATAGTTTCTATTTTTATTTTTTACCTATTATTTATCCCCATCCCTTCTCTATTGAAGTATTGTAAGTTTATTTTAATAATTCTATTTATCCTGTACATTGTTTTCATAATAAACATTTACCTCATAATAGTTGATTTAATTAGGTAACTGTGTTTAATTTAATCAAATTTAATTAGGTATATATGCGCAAATTTGTTTTCCTTGATATGTCTATAGCTCTAAAACCGCACGTTCAATTTGGTTGAAATTCAGAGTGAAGTTAGGGATTGGTAAACAGATAATCAAGAATGTATCAAATTCTATCCACTATTTCCAAAAAAATACTTCCACTTTCAAATCAGAAAATTTATTATTTGGCACGCCTATAGTTTCAAAACGGTTTGACCCAAACTTTGAGGAAATTTGGAGAATAGTAAAGACATTACCTAATACTAATTTCATCATTTGAATTCCATCTAATAATTAAAATTAATATAAACAATTGTTAACAATATAATTGGCTGTAAGATGTAGAAGGTAGGTTAATACAATATTTTTAGTAGTTTATAAAATTTTAGGTTTTATTCAAAAAATTAATTTATACTATATTGTTTGGTCGATTCCATGACTGGTATGAAACTTACTACCGTTGCGTAGATTTACTATAATTTTCCATTAATGGTTACTTAGAGTTTGTAAAAAAAAGTCTTATTTGTGATTGCTTTTATTTATATTGAAGTTCAATCAGCTTGTCGTGGTCTCGATTATCTCCTTAAATATCAAAGCTGTCTTCAACTTCACACATATTTTTATATTCCAGCTTAATTAGGTTTGTTCTGACTGAAGAAAAGTATTTTCTCATTAACTCTGAACAAATAAAAAGTTAAATTTTTCTATGGATTATTTGTTCCATCCATTTTACGAGTGAAAACATGTCTATTAAGTATGTATCACTACTGTTAGTGTAAAAGTTTTAAATTGTTGAGATTATGTTGTCAGCAATTGATATAAGTAGTCTACTACTATGGAAAATAGCAGAGAACAATAAAATATAAAATTATACTAATAAATCATAAAGATATAATTAGTTTTTATGCTCTTCTCTAAAACACTTAATTTTTCGTACGACTTTTTGGACTAACAGTAGCAAATTGCATTTTTAGTAAGCACTGGATTTTTTTTTTAATAATGAATCATCAAATATGCAATCTGCAAATGCGGAACTCTTTCGCATCAAGTCCCGGATGGCATGGATATCAAACCCGTATATATTGTGGGATTACTAAATTTACAAAAACGGCTTCTTTCCTCTTAAATCTCTATCTTTACTCTGTTTCCAATAATATCTTTATTGATAACATTAAAGCTCGTTAATAGCTACTATACAAGAAAGTGAAAAACAAAATCAAGGAGAAAAAGGTGCTGAAGTGTTTTGTCTTTGCTTATTTAATAACAGGCGTAGACTTTGGAGGATGAATGGGGGACGGTTGACCCTTCTCCGATAAAAGTAAAGGGCGATATCTCGCCCTTTCTCCTACTCAATATATGGAAGAACATATATAATATATAAATCAATAACAATTAATCTACATGAATGAATAAAATATGTAAACTAAAATAACTTAAGAAAATGGGAAAAGTTGACTCGAGAGCTAAGGAGTAGAAGTAGATTTGCAAGTATTTTACCATGTCCTATATTCCTTAATAGGAATATATTTTTATTTTTATTTTTATTAAATAGGAATATAAATATTTTATTACGTTTCTCGCGGAGTTCATCTCGTTTTATCAAAACTTTAAATAAAAATACCTACTATATTCAATTGATTTATTAACATATTTTCAAATATATCCATAACCCATACGAAAACAAAATCAAAAATAAAAATCCCCACATATATTATTACAGTAAGGCTCGAAATAGGTTTTGTACCAAATAAAAGCTCCTGTCATGCTCAAATACCATGAATGGGCTACTGTTGGATTCAGAATTTCACAGGGGTTAGCGAATGGTATTCTACACTTTTATTTTGCTTTCTAAAATAAATAAAGTCGATACAAACATTTTGCTAGGCTTCAATACTGGAACGGTGGTCAGTATGTAGATCGATAAGGGACAAATTGGACTCTGAAGATTTTGATGTAGACACCAAGACCTGTCAACTTCCTCTGAAACTATCCCGTCCTGCGTTTTCAAGCCCAAAAACTTACTATTTTCGAGATAACGCAAGGCAAAGGGTTCGCATCCACACAACCTGACATTAATTGTAGTACTGTCATGGAATACTTGTTTTGTTTCGTCGACTTGAGGTCCCTATGATCGAGAGAGAGGAGGAGTTTATATTGTTTATCAAAGGTTTTTTTTTTTTAAGCCATATCATCGTTAATTCTTCATTCACAAGATTGATTCACCATTTTTAAAAGTTTAATTCTCCTTCAGACGAAAAAAATATTCCAATCACCCCGAAAATTCAGGCAAAAAAGTTATAAAGGAAAAGAAACTTTATTTGTGAATAACTCAAAAATTACACAAATTTCCCTGGGTAATGTCCATGATTAAATAAAAAATTACTAAATTTCCTACAAAAGGGAAAAAAATCGAAATCGGACAATTATTAGCAAAAATACAGCTTATTGAAATTTGTAAATATGTTGGTTCCAAAAATTATTTATTTTTTTTATTTATTTTTTTTTTTCTAGCCGCCCGGAAAAAGGAGTTTTAAATTAATTTTTGTTTCCTTTGTCGATTATATTTAGCGAGAAGGTAGCAAATAATTTAGTTTATGATATGTTGCATTATTACTTTCACTTACCTATATATGAAACATATAGTAAAGAAAAGTATTGCGATCGTGAAAATTTTCTAATCTCAGTTTTCAACAAAAATACACGTTTTGAGGTCTCCTGAATCCAAATAACCCAAGTCCCACAAAATGGTCTGTATGTGTGTTTACAGTCTAGCTCAAAAGCAATAAGTCGTACGAAAGTGAAATTGCATGTTTAAGGTTTTTATATGCTAGGGATGTTACGGCAACTTTTTCGTAAAAATCGGCTAACTGAAAGTAGTATTTTATATAATGGACTAAACACATTTTTACGATTTTCTCGAAAACGGCTCTGACGATTTTGATTAAATTCATTACATCAGTGTAAAATTAAGGAGTTTTAAATAAAATGTAGTTTTTATTCCGATTGATGTTGTATAACAGGGCTTAAATGGCTAATTTTCAATATTAAAGTATCTTTAATTTTTTTTATTTGAAAAATTGACCATTTCACATTAATCTCTAATATAAAAAATATTCAAATATAAAATATGAAAGAATTCGATAATTAGCTAAAGGAGAAATAGGAGATCGTAACGGAGAATATTTGTAATTGGGGAACCAAAGGAATACGAGCTCGCCCGAAAGATTAGAACACTCTTCCATACATAATATGACCTTAATATAATACTGATTCCGACAATATTATATAAATATACATATTTGGTTTTCATAAATGCTATTGTTCGTGTTATTTAACATTTAATTGTATAGATTAGAGCGATATAAATATTAAAATTTGTATATATAACGGTACTTATGCAAATAAAAATACCCACAATGAAATATATAAATATAGCGTCTATAATTTTTTACTTACACTTCCCCTTTGTCTGAAAATACCATTTTCCGCTAAGAGAGTGGTAAGTGAAAGTTGTGTTATGCGCAGTTTTTTTTTATTTTCTTATCAATTTATTGTTTAATCACTGACCAATATACTGTGCGAATTTTCTCACGTCCCTATTAGTAATTTTTTTTTAAACTTATTTATTGAAAAATATTACAATCTGTCTCAAGGTGTTCTGAGATCACATTCATACTCTATCACGGGCGGATCTACGGGGGGGGGGGGGAGGGCTTTCGGGCTGAAGCCCCCCCAAAATGCCAAAATATAACCATGTTTTATCGAAAAAAATATTTAAAAAGTATCTCTTAAAGTATTATTGTTCGTGTGATTAATATTAAAAGAGCTTTAGGAATCACTTAAACACCATATCATAAAGGTAGTTAGTTTCTTTCTTTTTTTCCAAAGTAATTATCGTTATTTTTATGAAAAAAAAAAGCTTTCGGGCTGAAGCCCCCCCCCAAAATTAAATCCTGGATCGGCTAGTGTACTCTATGTACAATAAATAAAATAAATTATACAGAAAAATAATATATATACAATAAATAAGAATAAAATAACCTAAAAATAAATAAATAAAACGAGCACATACATATCTAGTATCAGTAAATTAATATTTTTTTTAATATATAGCATTATATTATCCGTTTGACACTAATTGTGTTGATTATCACTCCCAATTTTACACATAAGAAAGAGTTTCAAATTTTTTTTTTTGGGGGGGGAGGAAGTCCAGTGCTCTCGCCTTAACCGGAATACAAAGTATACGCCTATGCTATCTATATGAGCCGTTTATTTTGAAAATGGCTTAACTCCGTTTTTCAATTTTTTTCCGGTTACCATGGTTACATGTACAACTTCATACTATATATCATGTTTAAACATTTCAGGCTGCTTATATTCCGAGCAAATACGATAAATTTTTGACAAATACGTTTTCAGAATTAGTTCAATAACTGAACCGTGTAGTTTAAAAGTGGCCTAACTCCATTTATTTTATACTTACATCAGGATAATTACTATTAAAAAGTGTTGGAAAGGTAATAATTTTATTGTAAATGAAATGAGACAAAAAGATTTTGTATCTAGAAAATTTTTAAAAGGGCTAAGCATTCTGATGGAGAATCAGTAAACTGGTTACAAATAGTTTGGATGCATTTTATCAGAAATGAACCGTATAAAATTTTCTATATGACAACAATTCTCATATACATATAACGATAATTAATTAGAAAAAAAAGGAAGAAATTAACTACCTATATGAAATGGTGTTTTAAGTGATTCTTGAAGTCCTATTAAATGTAATTACACGAACAAGAATACTTTAAGAGAGAGTTTTTAATATTTTTTTCTGTAAGACATGGTTATATTTTACCATTTTGGGGGGGGGGGGGCTTCAGCCCGAAAGCTCCCCATTGATCCGCCTATGCCTACAACTAT